CAAAAACACCAAATAGTTAATGCTCAATAATAATAATAAAGGAAAATATTTCCTACTTGTTACCTTTTTTTTTATAATATCACCTTACATTAATACTAGTGTAAGAATATTAATGAAATTAACGGTAATTAGATCATAAAAAGGGTAATCAACCTCATGTCACAGGATAAGAATTAAATTTTCTCTGGGATCCACTACAAAATTAAATTAAAAAATAAGGAAATAAAATATCTAAGGTTATTTTAGATAATTTTGTCTAGTATTTATCAAAATGATATCATTTTGGATTAAAAAATTAAAATGATAAATACAATTATAATCTTAAAATAAATTAAAATTACAAGCACACAATAATTTTAGTTCCAAAACGACATTATTTTAATAAATATTAGACAAAGTTTTTTAAAATAATATTAAAAAAATTCAAAAAATAAATAAACATAATCCTCATTTTCAATGTCTATGCCGAAATAAAATTAGTTTTCTATCAACATGAGAAGTTAATCACAATCATAAAAATTGTATAAATATAAAGGGTTTGTCTAAGATATAAAATGGTAGAATCCATCACTAAAATAAAAAATAAAAAATGACAGCACAATTATTGAACGCTCTATAAATTAAGATATAAGTTTTCTAATGAGATTTGTATTTCTCAAATATAAAATGATGTGTATATCAAATAATAGTAGTTTAACTAGTGCTATAAAACTGAACAGATAAAAGTAAAAGTACGTATTCAATCTTTTCTAATATCATTTTTAGAAAAAATTTAAAATCTTAATCCAAAATTTATCTTAAATTGAATTAATCTCAAAAACATGAATCAATTGAAATATTTAATAAAAATAAAAAGAACATTAATATAATGATAATTGGAAGATACAGAATTTGTGCTTTATCTTTTTGTCCTTACTCCTTATATGTTCTCAATCTCATCACCGTCCCATCTACACTTTTTCCCAGAAGGTCTTACCCATCTTCGTGATACGAATATTAATTTTAGGAAGAGAGAGAGCAAAGGTATCTCCATCTCTGTCAAAACCCTTCACAGATCATAGAGTTCAGATATCTGAACATCTCAGAGCTCACAGCTGAGCAGGAAGAGACCCCAAGAGAGAGACAAGCATCAAGACAAGAGGATCAATCATTTTTTCTTTTCTTTTCTTTCTATAAGAATGATTTTTCTTTTTTCTTATTTGTGATTTTTATACGATAAAATTGATATTAAATAAGCAACATCTTATAATATAATAATGAGATTTGATTTTCTAATATTGCATGAGAATTTAATTTTTGTGTTGTGACTTAACTAGTAGTAAATACTATATTTATTAAAAAAAACACTTTGCACGTAAATTGAATGGTCACCAACATAAGAATTGAATTTTTACGTCACATGAAAAATGTTTTCTCTATAATAATTTTGTAAATATCAATAAAAATAAATTTGCAACAAAATTTTCGCAAGAGAGAATTTTATATAAAAATCTAACATCAATTCCCGTTTTTCAATGCCTCGGGATGCGGGTCACAGTAGAATCTACGCGCCTACACACTCTCCGTGGATTTTCTCTCTTCGTGGTAACAAAAATTCTTTTACAGGCCATAAATTCGAATTAATTATCCTCTTTGTTGATGAAACTTCTTGGATTTTTAATTTTTTTTGGTGGAGAAAACTTCTTAATTTTAATACTCTAAGTAGAGACTTGGCGTTGAGTTAGTGGGGTTGGACATGTGTTCGATTCCTGCTGAATGCATTTTTGGAGAGGGGCTGAACCTTTAGCCATCACTGCCCCCCGCACTCCGGATTAGTCTTATAGCCGGCTCAAAGAGTTGAAGCTCGTGGAGATACCGGAGGAAGCCAACTCGCCTCAAAGAGATAATTAGAGTTGGATAACTCCAAAAAAAAATATTATAACTAGAGAAATACTTAAGCAGTTTTTATATTCACGAGTGGTAACAACTTTACATTAATATACGTGTGTATATATATATATATATATCCTCTCATATTATTTATTAATATATGAATATTATGTTATGGAAAAATGACTCAAAAATAGAAGTGATAAACTTTACATAAATAATGATAAATTTTAATGTAATTATTTTTGAATAATTAACATAAAAAAAGTAAATTCTATTCAAAACAATTTGTTTTGTATAATGATATAAATTCAGAATAAATCATTGTATTAATTTTGGCTGAATACAAGTTGACCTTAATTATTTTTTTGAAACAAGTTGGTCTTTGAATATTATTATGTTTTAATTTTTTGATCCGATTATGAGATTAATTATGAGCTGGAATTTAGTCACAGCTAAAATTCCTCATTTCTTTTCAAATATATATTTGATATGAATTAAATTCAAATTCTCTTCCCATTCTATTCAACCCTTGTTACTATCGGAAAGTAGCCGAGCCACTTGTTGTTTGGAGGTGATCTTGGTTCAGGCTAAATTTTAATAAATTATACTTATACTATATAATTATATAATTAATTATAATTTGATCTGGTCTAAAATTAGAATTTGGCGCTATTAAAAAAATAAAATATATTTGGCGAGAGATTTGGATAAGTTATATTAAGTTATGTGTTTCATTTTCACTTATATAACAAATTTTAAATATATTTAATAAAATTATAACTTTTTAATATTGTCTGCTCAGATGTTTTATATTTAATATAATTTAAATATATTATAATATGAAGTAATTAAAATTAAAAAAATAAATACATATATAATTTTTTGATCCGACCTCTATTGGAGCTGACTCGGCCACTGCTATCTGACATATACCCTAAAATGAAACGTGTTAACTTTTGATGCTAATTGATTGGGGATTTGTATATGCTCTGATTGTAATTAATAAATTAGTTTACTAACTATCATCTCAACTGGTTAGATATTAAGCAGTAGACTAAGAGATATTAAATTTGTTTTTTAAATTCTTGATTTTTTTTTTTTTGGATAGTGTAAAATATTATTGATCTTAAATTCGAATCTGGCCGCTTTTTCGTCCAAAGTCATAAGCTAGTTAATCTCGAAATGTTTTTAGTTGCACTGTTAGCGCTTCCTCCGGTATATCTTCGCAGTACTTCCTTTCTTTAAAAATTAATGGGTTAAACAGATGAGCTTCCATAGTTATTTTCGACACTAGAATATCTCTATCAGTAAAATATGACACAATTCACATAAAAATTTACCTATCATTTATAGAGAAAGGATATTGTAATAACCAAGTTAAGTTACTACCATATTACTACCAATCAATCTCACCATTAGATCGATTATGTTGATCCAACGGTTATATTTATTTTCATATTTGTATGATTATGATTCCCTATATTTAAAGTGAAAGCATTAAATATGAAAAATCATAACCATACAAAAGTAAAAATAAATATAAAGTATTAAATTTGAGAAATCATGACTATACAAAGATGAAAATAAATATAACCGCTGAATTAACATAATCGATCTAACGGTGAGATTGATTGGTAGTAACTGGTAATAACATAACTTAGTTGTTACAATATCCTTCCCCATCATTTATATTGATGAAAATAATAAGATCAAAGTAATGTAAATTAACAAAACTTTTTGACAAAAATCGTTTGTAAAGAAAAAAAAGTTTCTTAAGAATATAATTAAATCATCATAAATTCATGAATATGCAGAGATAACTACAAGTGTTAATTTTTAACACGATCCGCTAACATAATATAAAAAATTTGTATTTGGGTCTACTCGTTTTCAAATTGATATCATATTTGTATTGACAAAAACTAACCTGAAAAAATTCGTTTCGTATAGTGTGTCAACTTACGAACCCAAAATTAATTTGTGTTAATCTTCTTACATGTTATTTATATCTTATTATATAATGTCATATTGATCCACATAATAAGTAATACGATTTAGGCTTTACAAGTTATTCATATCTTATCGTGTGGTGTCAATCCATATAATAAGTGACATATTATGAGTTTACAAATTATTGGTGTCATGTCGTGTCAATCAGTAAAATAAGTGAGTCATATTTGTTCGAAGATTTTTTTAAATTTATGTCATGTTTATGTGGACCCGAATTGTAGAGAAAACTTATACCTATAATGATCTTGCACTTCTTCTGTAGATTATAATCAAATTAATTGTTCCGATTTGATGTTATATTGTTATTATCAATTTAATTTTGATATAATAATAAAAAATAAAATAATAGACACATGACTAATAAATTTAAATCATTATAGACAAGTAAATCAACCGTTAAGTTTTAATACAAGTTTAATACAAGATTTCTTATTCTTAATGTAATCGTTCCCCATATATTTATATATTTTATGTACATTCGTGTGTTTACTGTTTACGGGTAATAGCTACTACGATGCTTTGCTTTAACTAGTCTTTTTTAACATTTATAAACTGTAACCACACTTTCTTGAGTGGCCAAAGTTATGCTTGGTTGTTATCAAAAAATAAATAAAAGTTATGCTTGGTAGTAATCCAATACCTGTTTTTTTATAAGCTATTGTGCTTTTATTACATGGAAAAGAATGTAGGTAGAATAGGACTAGGAATAAAACGGGCAAAGTGAAGGTGCGAAGGAGACGTCTAATGGGGAAGAGATTGAGATGGTTATTGAACAGTGTGTGTGACTGTGTGTCTCAGATAGATAGATTCATAGATAGGTGTTGGTGTTGGGAAAATAAAATCCCAAGTCAGAATAGCAATAATTATTATTAAACACATTACTACCTCTAATAATAATATAAACAAACCAAAAGTACTATTACCGCATCCTCTTCTTAAAGATACGTTAAGATTTTCCTTCGTTTCCCATAATCTCCTTCTTCTATCTGAACTCACAAGACAAAAACTCCATCATCATGATGATATTGATGATGATGATGATGCTGCGTTCCTGAAAAGAGACAAACCAGAAGCTTCTTGTGTTTGTGTTTTAGTAAATAGTTAGTTGTATGAAAAATATGCATAGCTTCAAGACAGCTGAAGCAAGCTCCCAACTCTATTGCCACTCCTCCTTCTTGCTTCGGTATGTTACGTAGCTTCTTTGTGTCTTTGTCACCCTTTCTTCATTTTCTTGTTTTGGTGACACATGGTAGTGAGAAATGGATTCATGTGCTGCTAAGTTATTGTGTATGTCGTTTTGGTATCACAAAATTTGTGTGTTAAAACTGTGCATCTCTGTTTTCCTCTGGTTTTTTAAACAGTGGTGACGACACCAACCGAAACCAAACGCGTTTCTCTGATCTTGGGGAGCTTCAGCATTCCTCTGCTGTCTTTCAACAAGAACATGCGGTTGATTTATCCTCGAGTAACTCTCTCTCTCTCTCTCTCTCTCTCTCTCTCTCTATATATATATATATATATATATATATATACTATACTATACTATACTATACATGTGTGTGTGTGTGTCATGCTATGTGTAATCTCAACTTTGAACTCTTTTTGCAGGCTCTATGTATAGTGTGAAGTCAAGCAATGTTGTTGTTGGTAGTAGTAACATGCAGTATGGGACAATGAACACGGTTTTTCATCCTCTTCCCTTTTCTCTCTTGTAGGTAGATAGTAGATAAGTTTTGTTTTGTTAGAGGCTTATGTGATGGAACTTTTGGGTTTCAAATGTTGTGGTTTGTGTAGAATCTTGGGTCTGCAGAGATAGGTTCAACAGGGGTAGGGTGCTTGGATACTGGGCAACAACTCATGTACCACAAGGAAATGGCCATGGCCACCTTGCCTTTGGGGAATGGTCATGTTGAGAATTGGGCTGATTCAGGCATGGCAGATAATAGCCAACAGACTGATGATACTTCCACTGATATTGACACTGATGACAAAAACCAAGTGGGTATCTATTTCTCAAACATGTTTTGGTGTTTTCATGTTAATTTGCCAAATTAGTTCGCATTTTTTTTTTTGTGTGGGTATAAAACCAGAGTTTTTGCTGTTTTATATGAGAAATCTGCTATGCTTTTGCTGGAACTGAATAATGTTAGTGTGAGTAGAAGTGCCTTTAGGTTCGACCATGAGCTGAATGTAACAATTTAGAGGTATCTTCTTCAATGTTTAGTGAAGCGGTTGTATGTTGTGGATGAATGAGTAAGTCTTAATGATCTCTGATAGTGTTTCTCAACCTTGTGTTAGTGCAATAGTGTAAAGAATGGGGCACGTGTGGTTGTGGACTCCAAGGATCAGACAAAGTTCAAAGCAGGAGATCAGAAGGTATATTTTGCTACGATTTAGTTCAACATCTTGTAGCTACCGATCTGTGTTTTAGTGCTGATGCTTTATTTCCTTGGATGCCCTTTTTCTAGACCCTTCGTAGGCTAGCTCAGAATCGGGAGGCTGCAAGGAAGAGTCGGTTAAGGAAAAAGGTAATTGCTCCCAAGGGTAAAGTTTAATTGCTCTCGTTTTATTCCTAGATATGTAGAAAATTATGAATGAGATCCTTTTGTTAAATCAATTGGTACCTTTTTCCATCCATATGTTTATCTTTGTCTTTGTTTTAGATGAAGAGGCTTGTAAATTCAATGGCTGGTTTACTATGTTTACTTTCTAAGAATTTTTTTTTTTGATAAAATGGTGCAAGAGTAGTCTTATTTTACACTAACTTCATTTAATCTCAAGTTTTTAACATGAAAGATGCCTGTGCACTCGTTCGCACACACACGCACACACAATTACTTGTGGGACTAATGTAACATATTCTGTTGTGCTAGTGAATTGCTGTTCCCTTGATTTGTTGATGATATAACCCCTTTATTATAGGGTATGTGAAGTCTTAGGATTTTAAGGGGAACATATTTGAATCACTTATAGGTTTTTGGTTTTAAATAGGCATATGTGCAGCAGTTGGAGAACAGCCGGCTCAAGCTTGCGCAAATAGAGCAAGAGCTTCAACGAGCACGTCCGCAGGTGTAAGAAGTTGAAGATTTCTGGTTGATATTTGTGGACAATTTGATTTTGTTGTCTTCATGGGTTTCCATTGCAATGCAGGGTATATTTATTGCAACTCCTGGGGATCAAGGTCATTTGGCTGTTGGAAATGGTAATTAAAAAGAGACAACTCCTTTAGTGGCAGAAACATGATGCTTATATTTGTTACATCAATATGACTCAATAATTCTTGCATTTCTTTTGAAATTTTATTTAATTTGGCAAATAGACGGGTGTACCTTCAATCCGGGTGCGATCATGGAAGTAATGTATTTGAATCTTTTAAGAGAAATTCTTTGTGAACTTGGTGAAATAATATGTGATTTATTAAAGTGAAATATATTGATATTTACTTTATAGTAGGAGGGGAGGGAATGTGACTGATGATGTTTATTGAACCTTTAGGTGCCTTAGCATTTGACATGGACTATGCCCGCTGGGTTGATGAGCATCAACGTCTGCTGAATGAGCTAAGATCAGCTTTAAATTCTCAAATGGGTGATAATGAACTACATCTTCTTGTTGATGGTGTCATGGCACATTATGATGAATTGTTTAGGTTAAAGAGCATAGGGGCAAAGGCTGATGTGTTTCACATGCATAGTGGGATGTGGAAGACACCTGCAGAAAGATGGTTTATGTGGCTTGGTGGATTCCGTTCATCTGAACTTCTCAAGGTGTGATTATTGACCAATTCATCACTTCATTTGCATGTAACTTCACTTGAGCTAACCTTTACTTTTTTCTTTTTGGGATTCAGATAATCAAGAACCACCTTGAGCCCTTAACAGAACAGCAAGTGATGGGCATTGATAATCTGCAACAGTCTTCTCAGCAGGCTGAGGATGCTTTAACTCAAGGTATGGAAGCATTGCAACAATCTGTTTTAGAGACACTTTCTTCCACCTCCTTAGGACCCACTGGTGCTGGAAATGTTGCTGATTACATGGGCCAAATGGCAATTGCAATGAGCAAACTTGCTCCAGTGGAGAATTTCCTTCGCCAGGTATGTGAGATATAAAATCCATGAGAATTTGCTTAATTTATATTTTTAGTACTTATAACTTCATTATGTATGTGCTATGTATCAAAATAGATACATCAGAAGTTTTATATATATATGTTGTATTCTGATCCGCATGGTTTATGTTCTTAGGCTGATCTCTTGAAGCAACAAACTCTGCAACAATTGCAACGAATTTTGACCACGCGTCAGATTGCTCGGGCCCTCATTGTCAGAAATGATTACCTTTCAAGACTAAGAGCACTTAATTCATTATGGTTAGCTCGCCCTAGAGAGTAGGGACTTGCGTTAATATATATATATATATATATATATATATATAGCCATGGTGCATCCTACTGTTGGACCTCCTTTATTGGCTCCAAACTAATTGGCTATTTCTGTTCTAATAGGAACTCAGTGATGAGTTGCTGCGACCCTCAACTATAGAGCGTCGTTAATAATCGGCTATAATGAGAAGAAACCTTGTTACTGGTAGCTGCTGATCAACTTTTCTTTAGAAGATAGGTTTATGGCTTGAAATTTGATCTGTATAAGTATTCAACTGTTGGAATGTTCTGTATATTATTGGCACATTCTAGTGATTATTATATTAAGTTTTAAATCGGAAAGTTGAGATTCACAGGTTTGAATGCATAACATCATCGCCCTTTCACCAACAAAAATGAATGATTGTCTTTTATATATATATATGGTTTTGCAACTTCTTACTTTGCCATGAGAACTTGGAGCTTTTGTTGTTGGGCCTTGAAAAAAAAAATAGAAAATAAAAGTGTTTGGTGTGGATATCGAAGTGAGAGTAATAAGCAAATAGACTTTTCATGCGACATGAAGTTTTTTTCCTTTTATATATGGGTTTTATTAGTGTTATGTTACATGATTTAAGTGTTGTTTTCAACACACAAAAAAATGGAGAGAGAAAGTGAAATGATGAAAGAGAAAGAAAAACATGTGGACCCCATCTATTTAATGTGTGTGTAGGAAAGTGATGTTATATCATGTTACATGATAAACATAAAACCCTTTATATATATATATACACACAAACAAACAAGGGAGACAATAACGGTGGCTCTTATATGAATAAATTTTTGGTGTTATTGTTGCATCAAGATTTATTGCATCTTATTAATAAGAGTATTACATATCATAGGAGAGAAAAAATTTGGTAGAGAAAAGAAAATTTTAGTTGACATATAATGTTTCTATTAGTGGGATGTATTAAATTTTTGGTGCAATAGTAGCACTAAAGATTTATTCCGGAGAGAAAAAAATTGGTCAGGGACCTATTGAATTCTGTGTTTGCAGGAAAAGCCCTCATATCTTTAGGTAGTGTTTGGTTCGGGAGAAGTTTTTTTTTACTAGGGAAATGTAATTGATAGGAAAATGGTTGGAAAGTGAGTTTGGTAAGAAAATGTAAAAAAAGTTGTTTGGTTGACCCAAATATTACCAGAGAAATTTATTTAAATATGCAAAATCTATGTTCGGGAGAAACTTTGCACCTGTTTTTTCACTTCCGCAGTTATCTCAAAATATCACATCTCAAGTGGTATTCTGTAAGAGTGAATTTCATCCAAAAATCAACACAAAAGTCATTTTTTCATCTATCCTATTTGTCTGGTATTTTTTGAAAAAACCTGAACCAAACGTGGTATTTTCTAATATCCACTTACACTTTTTCATCAATCCCAAAATAAACCTTCAACCAAACACTACCTTAAGATATATATATGGAATTTTTTTTCTTATGTTATTGAAAATTAGTTATCTTATGTTGTTCAAATAAAATTATAAGTGAGATCAATAAATAATTGGAGAGAGAAAAAGCAGAGATGAGATTCATCTCTGTTAAGTGTCTGTCTGTAGAAATCTGATTTATTTTATGTAGAAAGAGAGAAGCATAATCCATATATATATTTACAAAAAAGCATGACCTTATTGAATGATCAACCGTTCCATTTACTTACATATCCATATGTTACTTGATATTCTGAAGCCAAGTCTCAGTATTTTACCCTTGTATGCTTCTCATCTGAATGCTATTGGTATAGAAAAATGTATTAAAATAAAATTCAGAGTTCTTTCTACATTCCCTTGACTTATTGTGAATTCTGTACATATATATGTGGAAAATTTTATACAAATTTATCAGATGAAAGAAATATTAACAACTGCTTCCCACCTTAAGCAGAATTATGAGCAAGGAACGATCTTCAATTTACTTAACACAGACTTAAAAAGCATAGTTTCTTCAATACTTATCCACCACAGGTTTATATTCTTGTCTCCTGCTATACATTTTTCCTGCAAAAAATTGCAGTCTGACATGAGCAGAAATTCAATTCTTTTCCAAATATTTTCGTTTGTTTAAATATATTAAAAGTTTGAAACAGGAAAGGAAAGTGTACCTGGTCTCTGGTATTTTCTACCTGTGACAACTTTGGGAATGAACACGCCAGTACCTTTTCCATTCTTCCAAAGGTTCACAAGCCAATCAGGAGGTGAACCTAAGCTATTTGTTTCCCAAGAACAGAAATGGCTTGCAGGTTGTGGTGCACTCTTGTTATAAACTGACCTGATTGAACCACCATTACCAACACTAAACGGGTTGAAACGTTTTCTTTCCAATGAATCTTCATTATCTTCAGATGTCAAAAGCAGAATCTGCCTCCTAATCTCAGCATAGAAAGTATCGTCATCATACTGTGTCTCCATAATGATATTTAAGATTTAATCAGGCTTGAAATCTAGGCTTGAGTTTGTGTGAATATGGAAAATTTTACTTGGGACTTAAAAAGAATTGGGGTATTAAGATTCATATATATAGATAAGGAATCATTGATAGAGAAAAAAGTAAAAAAAAAAGAGTTCTTTGTTTGTGGACAATGTTTGGGTCTAAGAAAGCAGGACTATGTAAATTTAATCTCAAATAGTGTCTAAATTGGAAGAACATGCCCTTTTTCGTACGTTAACAGGTGTCGCCTGCCTTGAGCGTTTTAAATTTCACGAATCATGATTCAATTATTGAATATATGATCCAAATCAAATGTGTGAGAAAAGATTCTGTGGTTACTTTCTAGTGACATAATGATGATTATGCATAACCAAATATCAACATCAACCATACTTATAGTTCAGGTTACCATAAAAATATTCATGTCTCGTATTGTTTCATAACATTGACTTGATTTGTGTTTTACGGAGTGGCTAAACAACAATTAAGAGTATCAAATTGGTGGTGGATTACCACTCACGTAACATAACTAACAATTAAATGGTCAAACTTGCGCTAATCTTTAATATTATATCGACAATGTAAATAATAGTTACCCTCACGCTAATAGAAGAGATTGATGACGATATATTCTTTTATATCTTGTTTTAATATGATAATGTCCTTTGAAATTTTTTCTTATTCATTAATAAATCAACTATAACAATTTTAATTCCTAAAATCAAGATAAAAAATAATTATTTTAATTATTTACTACTAATATATGAGAGTAAATGAGTAAAACCTTTAACGGAACAAAATATATCGATTTCTATTAAGAGAAGCGTCATTAGGAAAATTCTTGTGAGAAACATAAAGTGGGGACAGGGGAGAGATGGTTGTTTACACGTTAAAGATTCCATAGAGCACAGACACATGTTGGTTGAAGATTCTTGTGGGAAATGGAGGATACCTCTTTGTGGGGGCCACTTACAGTCATTGTTATTGGGCTTTGGATACCATTCTATTCGTTCGTAGCAAAAGAAAACTCCAACCACAGATTTCATATCTGTCACAATCCAGCTACTTTTGACTAAAGCAAATAAAATGAAAAAGAAAAAAAGACCAAAAAATGGAATTGCTTTCCATTTCTAATGATAATTAACAAGACATTCTGTGCAGGGCTATTAGTACATAACATGACCTCGATCCATTGAACCCCTCCCTCGTCTTCCTCCACTTGGGGATGGGATCCTTAGCTACTATAAGGAATTTTTTTGCCTAAATTTGGTAGCTTAATTTGAGTATACTTATATCAATAAATTACTAATACATTATTATTTATAATTATTAATTCTTGATTGATAATGTATTAACTATTAACAATTTATTGACGTAATACAAGTTACTTAGATACATTTAATTTTTCCATCACAATCAATCAATCAATCAATTTAGATTAAACAATTATTAAGTCACAACTCGTAAGCTACTGAATATGTTATGACATATTTAGATTAATTAGATTCTTGATCAATCAATTTAGATTTTTGTTTCTAGCAATGCATAATAATATTCATATAGTAAAAGGTAAGTGAATAATTAATAATTAAAAGAAAAAAAATTGAAAATATATCATCTCTTATGTTAAAGTTTCACATCGATCACCTCAAACATATGGATCAACGGGTGGAACCCGACTCTAGCCATTCCATGATGATCTGGAATTGGGCTCTAGCCATTCCATCCCATAACTGCAGCACGTACACTGCATTTTTGGCCGTCGATGAACGCAATTCATGGTTTAGTGGTTTTTTATTTTCTTTTTCTTTCATAGGATAAAAACTGTTCTGATTCGCATGGCAAATCCATTGTAAATATTTATACTATGTATAACTACGCTTAATTGGATGTTAAATATAACTTCAATGAAATTATAGGAAATTGACAAACATAAAAGCCAAATAAATAAAAAAATAGTTTGCATTCATTAGGACATTATTGACACAAAAAACTTGAAAACAAAAAAAAAAAACTTATCCAAGTTATTATGTAGTTGACTTTATATCAGATTATTGCTTGCGCAAAAACCAGTTATGACTTTTTTTGTTTGTTTGTTTAAGTCTACAATTGTGATGATAAACTTATTCTATAATTTAAAATATGACAGTTATGACAGCTAGAGTTTTATTTTCTATTTCTATTATTTAAAATATGGACTACATGCATGTGTGATGTGTTATAACCTTATCATTAATAACTTATACCAAATGTTAGTTGGAGCATGAGAACTGAGCATGTGGAATTGAAAGCATATGTTCGATTTTCCTCAATATTTTTCTTGAAAGAGATTTAAAGCCTTAATTCTGAACCTATTCCGAACTCTGAATTAGTTCATAGAAAACCTATAAAATTATCGGAGAATACTATCCAAATATATATATATATATATATATATATATATAGCTTATAATACTATATAATTCAGGCATGACATGTCTTTGCATGAAATTATTCTTTAAAATATGGACTACATGCATATGCATGTGTGATGTGTTATATATCCTTATTATTAATAATTTATATCAAATGATGGTAGTTTAGTTGGCGCATGAGAACTGAGCATGTAGAGGTGAAAGTATATGTTCGATCCTCCTCAGTATTATCTTTGGAAGAGATTTAAAGCCTTAATTCTAAACTCGTCCCGAACTCTGAATTAGTTCATAAAAAATCTATGAAATTACCGGAGGATAATATTCACAAAAAAATAAAAAACTATATCTATATATATATATATATTAATAACTTATAATACTATATAATTCAGGTATGACGTGTCTTCGCATGAAATAAATAATAGCTACGAATATATTAAATATTTGGTATCTTACTATCTTAGGCATGGGGCCTCAAGCACATGTCAAATTTATGAGCAACCAATGAATATAATGTAGTTCTTACGACACACAATATTTATATAGTTCCTCTATATAAACGATGAAAGGAAAACATTATCACCCAAGAACTGAACAGTATCCATGGATAGTAGATTTTGAATTGATTGACTTATATATTGTCCCTACGTCAATTATCTCCGGAATCTGCCCAAATTAAGGGGCTCCATTGACAACACCATGTGAAGCAAACTATCAGTATATGGTAACAAGTACATTTCAATGTTTTAGGATCCACCAATAAAAGCAAGAGTAGCATGCAATAATCCAAAAAAAATAAAAGGAAGTGGTCCACTATGTGTGCCTTAGGAGGCTGCTTTCCATATGACTGATATGCTTCTGGGTTTGAATCCATATTGCAAATTAATGCTATAATGGAAGAAGAAGAAGAGTCAATTTTGTTGGTAATGGATACTAACTTCTAGACAACGCATCAGGGTCCTAGCCTTCTTGGAAATAAGTATCAGTGTAGGCTAAATTGTTTAAATAATTACCTGAAACTTTTTAATTTGTTCTACTTGGTTTCTTGATTACTTGGTTTAATGATGCGTAAATGAGTTTATTATAGGCTGAGATTTGAATGGAATTGATAAATTATGATATTTAATGTTTAGTTGACTAACAAATAAATTGCTTCTTAATGCTTATTACTATATTTCTGGGACATTCTTGGGATGTGTATGATACTGAATTATGACTATGTAAATAACGGATAAGAGTCGTTCAAACAAGAAATCTACATATGAATATGTAATGAATTACTTCGTGTTCGAGATTACCAACGCTGTCTTAACAGCGCTGCTTGCCTAAAATTTGGCTTTGTTTGAGAATAAAATCTTTTTAATTTGTATTCAATGTTTTACTGAAGTTTTGGTTTGGTGTAAACTGTAATTTTTGTTTTATATACGTCGTAAACACTTATTTATTATTTTAATGTGTTCGTTTTCCATCTAACTAGAGCCGGCAAAACGGGCTCGGCTCGGTGGGCCAACTCGCCCCATCGGCTAAATGGGGTGGAACGGGCTGAGTTTTTCGACCCATCTCAAAAGTGGGGCGGGGCGGGCTCATTTTTTGGCGGGTTGATGGCGGGCATAGGCGGGTCAGTGTAAAATAGGTTCGGGCTAGCGGGGCAACCCGCCAAACAGGGCGGGGCAGGCTCAATTTTTCAGCCCACTTTCAAAAGCGGGGCAGGCTGACTCATTTTGTGGCGAGTTGATGGCAAGGTGGGGCAAGGCGGGGCGGGCCGTCCACTTTGCCACCTCTACACCTAACGTTGATACATGTGGCAAAATTATATCGCTATTTATAAAGGGAGAATAGTTTCCCTTGTTGTAATTCTGCCGCAACATACACATAATTCAATTGTGGGTCCATCTTTTAATTAAAAAAAAGCTATGAAATTTTTTTTTTTTCTTCTTTTATGAAAGAAAACACTTCTTCGGCAATAGCAAAAATGTAACATGATTAAGGTTATGGGAGATTTATTTCCATTTTAATATGATACTCATATTTTTGACCCTTTTGTTCCTCATTAAATAATTAATAACCATTTCGTCCCTTACCCGAAACTATCCACCATCCTACCACTCTTTAATCGATTAACTTCAACATTTAATCGATTAAATGGTTAAAACACACAAAAAAAGTTGACCCATGATTTAATCGATTAAATCACGCATTTTTGTTTTCTGGGCTGTAAGTGATGATCATGCCATTTATCCTGTAAGAAAAATATTTCTTCTTCTTAAGAGATCATGCCCCAGCAAAATGAACAACCATTAGAATTAATGTAAAGATCAAATAACCCTAGATTGACCATAATCTCCAACTCCTTTTCCCCGCATTTTTGAACCATGATTTCCTTTGAAAGCTCAACAGGAAACAACACAATCTGTGTTTCTATAACTCAATCCACATAAAGTAATCTGACACTTGTTCATCTCAGTGACAAAAACCAATCAAACACTAGATATAGATAAATCAAATACCCTTTGAAGAAGACTTCGACTGAGGAGGTGGAGAGAATTCATCTGAAACATCAGGAATCTACTTCCATGCCTCCAACATCTGATTCATAACTTCTCGAACCAACTTTACCTACAAACTTTGTTTTAATCTGATTTTCATATTTTTTTTGGCGTGA